ATAATGTACCTTTACCGCTATGCGGAGTCTCAGTCAGAGAGAGATGCCTCTGTTAATTACAGTAGCGGTAAACAGAATGTGAATGTGACAGGGCTAAATGGAGAGAATGGCGAAGCTAAAATGGAGTCTGATTTTTATATTCCTGTCATGTTTGTTTTGAATCTCTGACATTTGACTCCGTATGCACATGATGTCTAAATGGATGAGAGACTTTGGACTCCGGAGGTACTTTTTGACAAGTAAAAAGTCATCAATATAACAGAAGATCTCACATGGCCTACAATCAAATGGTTATCCAACTTTTCAGACCAATAACCACTTTCAATCAAATCAGAACATCTAAATACTACCAATTTTCCCTCTAATGTTTTTCTCAGCTTTGTGGAAACTTAAGAACTGTGAGCCACAATCAGTATACACATTTTGTCATCAGTATTAATTCGAGATCGACCGATAGTGGATTTTGCCGATACCGATAGCTAGGTTGGACCACACTGGCCGATACCGATTAATTAACCGATAGTCATTGCAATGCAGTTTGTGTAAGTCCAGAACAGAGATCGGCTGCAATAAAACAATAAACAGCTGGTTGCCGATCGCGTGAGTTCCAGAGGAAGCTCCTTCGGCCGTCATACACACACGTGACTGACCGCTCGCTCGCACCAACAGGAGGAGGGGGTGTTACTCTCTACACTGCACTCAACCTGAGGGATTCCTACACTTTCAGTCTTTGAGGAGACATGAAAAACAGCGCATACCGCAGGAACGGTATAACGGAAAATATTAGCAGTTTTGAAACCGTGAAATTTTCAAATTGCGGTATACCTTGAAACCGGTAATCGGCCCATGCCTAGTGTACATGCTGCGGCACTACGTGTACCACAGTCTGAAAAGCACTGATTTAGGACACTATTTGTAGTTGTGTGTTTATTTGATGGATGTGCTTTTGGTTATTTCTGTATGCTAGAATCAAAAATAATGACACTCCTGTCTTTTATTGATGAACAGATAGTTCCGCCCCAAACTCACTCTGTTAGCTGAACCGGTGTTGCTGTGTTGGTCTGGTTGGGATTTTTAGACAAACAGAGCGATGTTTGATTGTGCCACAGGAGATTCATCCTGCGAATGGCTTACTTGTCTCTGCATATTAAGCTGCAGAAAGTATTTTAACACTTTTAACAATTTTTAATGGAATTGTTAATGGAAAATTAAACTTTTCAGCTTAAGTGAACTGTATAAGAAAAAAAGCTAGTTAAATGACACATTTTTGTTAAACTTCTCAGATGGAAAATCTTTGAAATCTGTCCTGTATTTTAAAGCAAAAGCAAAATAAGTGTTTTAATCCGATCATCCCTGAAGATTTGACGCATTCTTCAGCACTAAATGGCTTTGCAGTGTGCTGCAGAAGTGGCTACACAACAGAAGGACTCATTCTTATATAGTATTCGGGTTCTGCTATATCCCCAGGACATTTTTGGAAATGACCAATTGGAAGGAACTGTGCTCAAATCATCTCAATTGTTGACATTTACTCTGGAGCTCCAGTTGATGGATATCACTGATTTGGGAGGTGGAACGCTTGATCTGTTTGTTTTTTTTGGGGGGGCGGGGGGGCGGGTATTCCTTAGCTAATTTCCCTCTGATAAGTATCTGACAACCCATAGTGTGGCACATTATCTCCGGCTGAGGAAAACGGTTCCTTCAGAGTGAGAATTGATTTTGCTGGATGCCTGTGCGACGCGGCACTTCAAAACGCTTACTGTTTTTTAGATTGAGCCCATTTTTTGCTTTCTCTATTTGCATGTAAATGATCAATTATTGCTTTTGGCAGGGTTCTGCCACCCGACTCTTGTCTGTAGTGTGGAACTGTACTGTTTCACCTTAACAAATGATGTTTGCACTCCCACCCCCTACTTCCATTCACAATTATCAACTGTTTGCACTGCTGGCTACATTGATTTTTCTTTCTTTCTTTCTTTCTTTCTTTCTGCATGTCATGACTCAACATTTAGTAGTCTGTTTAAATTGAATTGAGGGTGTGTTATGTGAAAATGACTGGTTCTTTTAGAATTATGCCCGAATTTTAGGATTCAGAGAATTACATGCATGCAGGAGCGTGTCATCTACTGTAGTTCACAGCATTTAGAGGTTGGAGAAAGGTCATGGTTTTGAAGGGTTGAAGCAAATCAGTGGAATTGTGCAAGGTTGAAGAGTACATGGATGTTTAAATAAAGTCTAGGGATATCATGTGTAAATGAAAAAATATTATACTACTGTTGTTTCTTTCAATGCAAGGAAATCCCTTTGGCAAATACTGGGCTATATAAAAGATAATTATATGGTTAAATTCATTCTATTTTATGCGTTTAGTATGTTTTTTTCCCAATTGTTGTCCATGAATTTGTCAGAACAGGCCTGAAAGCAGTTGAAAGGCACTTTTCCAATGCTTGTGAGTGGAAAATGACTTATATATATAGCACTTCTTAAAGAGTGATCGCAGAGGATCGACACATTTTAAAAGCAAATGCAGATGTTTTCTCTGTATCAGTAACGTCTCTGTTACGTATGGTAACCCTCGTTCCCTGAAGGAGGGCGACTGAAAGGGAACTGTATTGACACTTACAATAATCTGTCTCATTTTGAAACATGCTATTACTCAAGAATGTTTTTGAGGGCTTTTTGAAACCTCATTGAGAAACAGTTGATACTCAAAATCAGTTTGATTTGCCTTAGCTCCCTTCTTTCTTCCTAGATCTGCACATGAAACTTGATTGCAGATATGCACCAAATTTTCCACTACATTTATTTTCTTATGAATGTTTGCATATTTCAGTGATTGCCTTCTAGTGGATTCAAATATGCAGAAATGGCAATCTTCCTGTCCTGGAATGAAGCATGTACTCATTTCACAGCCTCTAACTGTGTTTCTGTAAAATGGTCAATTGTTCCACTTGCACAAAGAATAAAGCAGTTGCTAAAGTAGAATCCTTGCACTGATTATTCATATTGGTTTATGATACAAGTTCACTTACCCATCCAAAAGTTGTTGGCATGTTGTCCGGGTGTTGTAGATGTTTGCCATGTTGTTGCTTTGTGATTGCTAATGTGTTCAGAGTGTATTTTCTATGTTGCTATGTGGTTTTTAGGGTATTTTGGTAGTTTAGTAGGTCATTGCTAATTGGCCCAAGTCAAAGAACCCATTCACAAGTGATATTCTGGTCCCTAATTATGACTCGAAACTGCTTATTCAATGTAAGTTTTGGATTTTTAAGAAGTCAACCCTCTGCACACATTGGCAATCAGATTGCCATTGGCTAGTAAATAAATATTTATAAATATATATAAAAATCAGCTTATCTTCAGAAAATAGAAGAGCTTTTACAAAGGTACATTTATGTGATATGATTTAAAAGCAACTACACATTTAACAAAACATAAGTCAATCTTGCATTTTTTTAAGATTGTCATGCTTTAGTTCTAAAGTTCAATCATGTATGAATGAAAATGTATGAATGCATATGTCATATTAAACAGAACTTTTACTTGGAACTATTACTTGAGATATTGTCATTCAGTATTTCTGTAAAAAACAAAAAACAAACAAAACAATAATACTACTGTGAATTCTGCAACTAATAATATTATAAAATGTACTAAGGTCTGATGGGCTGCTGGGTTAATGAATATTAATCATGCTGTTTGTGTTCGCTCAAACAGATTTAACAAAGCAATGGAAAATTTCAGGAAAAAAAAAAACAAGAAAGAACCATTTACCTATACTAAGTCAGTTTATGATGCTTCAGAATATGCTGCACATCCATAGGAATAGTGAAACTCTCACATGCATAGTGTTCAAGTGTAGGTGAGTGAAAATATATCTGTGCAAAACTTATTCTTAGCATCTAACTCACTCAATTGATTAGCCAATTGCTATCAATAGAAATTTAGTCGCCTGTCGCAAAATTTAGTCGCATTGGTGAGAAATTTACTCGCAATGTAGAAATGTCCAAATGATATGCATGTCAGTGAGGATGTGGATCCCTCTTGGTTTAGATGAGGTCCAAAAAACTGCTTTGAAACAGCTGCTTGGATAAGTTAGAAACTTGGCTCTTCTTCTTATGTCTTACTTTTGCAATTTGACCAGCACAACAGAGACTCAGTGTTCCAGTGTTTGCTCCATTGCAGGCATTGCTGCACATCGTCATCCGCTGATCCTGTTCTTGATGGTCGGCCATCCAATCCAGTTAGCAGCTATTCGAGCCGGGTACGATGAGAGGGCCCTGTCATTATCACTTGCACATTCATGCCGCACATTACTGGCTGACCTTCCCGTTGCTGTCACTCAGAAATCAGCCCCGGTACCCCTGTCACAGGGTGGCCGTTCATGCCAAGAAACCAAAGATTCTCCACCCCTATCACTTATACAGGGTTAATAGGCACTTACTTGGCTTACCTGGCAACGTGCGATCGGTTGCGAGGTCAGTAAATTAGATTTGCTGCTGAGACATACCGCTCTACATGTTTATGATGCTTTTGCAATTTCACAAAGCATCTCTGTCCATTTTACCCTCTGTTTTACGCTGTCCTTACCTCCCAGCGAACTGTGAAGGAGCTCACCCAGCCATTCAGGAAACGTATCGTATTAAAGTGTGGTAACTGCTATATGTAATGAATTTTGGATTAGGAGCGACAAAGCAGCTCTATGATAACCTTTCGGAAGGACGCAGTTTGTGAGCAGAGGGAAGCGGGTTATAGCAGGAGTCTCTACTCCCAGACACCCCAGGGTGGCTGCATTTGATGTCACTCTCGCTGAAAACTCCCCAGCGCAACACAAACAAAACATGCCGTACCAGACCTGTGCGGGATACGTCAGTAGAGCGGGAAATGTCAGATCGTCAGGGGTGTGTGTGTGAAGTGAATTACTCTGGTTTGGAGAGCGGTCCTGCGAGGATACTCTAATTTCAAGCTGAAGGTGTAACGTGTCTTTTATTTTTTCGCAGGTGCGGTGGACCCTAGTGTAGACGGGAGCTTGCAGAGGGACCTTCCCCACAGACTATATGAAGGGAGGGGAGGGGGAGGTGGAGGGGGGGCTGCTGACGTTACTCCCAGCTTGCAGAACACACAGGTCGGCATACCTTTAAATTTGACGTCGTTTGTCTTTAAATTTCATGGTTCAGTGTTTTTGTTTTGTTCATTATTAGTGGCTGTAAATTTAGATGTTCGTCCTTTCTGTACAGCTAATTTATTGTCTTACTTTTAGTACCTTTTTGCATTTTGATTAAGGCAGTGTTTCCTGTGCCTTTTTGTCCAAAGTACTCACGACTCTATTAGTTAAGGCCAAAGTATATGGCTGTGCGCGGCGACATTGGGGGCGACAGATTGTTAGTCATGGAATCCCTGATGTCGGCCCCGCTGCAATTGGAATTATAAATACCCTCAATAAATTAATTAATAAATAGCCTCACCGTGTTTTTACAACGTTGAGCAATGTAACCAATCACAGATATATCTGTTGATTTCTTGAGCGCAATGGCCAATCAGAAACGTTTTGTCAGAATTCACTCACCGCTGAAAGCGCGGCAGTTTTTAAGTGCAGTTTTGCATGCTCGTGAATCATCTCATGACTAAGTGCAGACGCGATGTAATTAAGAGATTCATTGTGTAGTTTAGAGAGCTTCATTGATTATAACAGAACTTTGTAAGATCGCGATGAACGAAGATGAGTGACACTTTTTATTAACGTTATATTCATTGCATACATATACTTCGTAGTAGACATCCTTAACTCCATTCTGCTGTCTGTTGTTCTGTTGTGGGTGTTTCTTTGTCTGAATATGGCGCTTATCACATGCTGTGTGGTATCGGCGTTTGGTATCGGGGCATTTTAACGAGTACGAGTACATGAGCTCAGTATCGGGCCCGATACCGATACCAGTATCATTAGATTACCTGCGATTGTATGAGAAATATGTTGGTGCAGATATAAATCTTTAAAAATATCTAAGAGAAATGTATAAGAAAGAAAAAAATATATAAAAAATATAATTATAAAACAAATATATGGTTTCATATTTTTTAAACATTTGATAAGAATTTATATAAGGTATAAAATATATAAATGCATAAATAAAAAAAATATAAAATATATTTTATATATGCTTTATCATTATTATTATTATTAATTGTTATAATTTTTATTATGACAATTAAACATTAAACGTAGTAGGTTTATAATATAGTAGTTTTATAATATTTTTATCGTGTAACAAATATATAAATACATTTTTATAATAATAATAATAATAATAATAATAATTATTATTATTATTATTATTATTATATGTTTTTTGTGACTTTGGATTTTGGACAGTCTTTGGACAGATAACCAAAATATTATTATTATTATTATTGTTGTTGTTTTTTGTGACTTTGGACAGATAACCAAAATGATACAACCATTAGGGAAAAAGAGGGAAAACAGGACTAGGATGTAAACCAGGCCGGTCTTGAATCTTCAACAAGCACAACCGGTCTTTATATGTAACTTGCAACACACTACTTTCTCTGCAACTGCTGTGATGAATTCAGCAACTTATGTATGTCATTCTACATATCAGCATCAGCATCGACTATTTAAAAGAAATTCAGTTTGACCCCCTAGATCTAAAGCAGAAATGTTGATCAGGAGACTTTCATATGGTCACTATGAGTGTATGTAAATATGACTCCCATTGTCTCAAAACTCATGACAAATCACCAGACAGTAACAGCATTTCAAGCGGCTTAGAACAAAGTATGTAACATCTGGATAACGTTTGACCTTTGCACATTGTCCTCTGTACTGGCAGCGGGTCATTCCTGTCCTCTGCCATAAGCTGCGAGATGTTTACATATCCCGTACGATTATGCCTTTTCATGGGAGCGCGGCGAGCATAGAGGAACATGCTGGGTTGATTTGGCCAAATTGGAAGCCTGTGAGTAATATACGGCGGAGCAGAGCTGGGCTGGATGGACGTCTGGTAGTGTTTATGCACAGGGTAGCTGCATCTGCACACAGTCGTACCCTCAGGCCTCCAGCACCTGCATAATGGAACAACAGAGAAGAAAGAAAGGGGGAAAGAGATCAAATGACAAGGGCTTGGGTTTCTCACTTCAAATGTTTCTTATTTTTTGACTTACACCAGGAAAATATTTCCAAGACCTCAGAGTGTCGATATGATAGAGTGGCCTTGTCGCTGTTTCGTAAACATTTGTCTTATTATGCATTTGGCTGTTCTCCTCAATGCCGGTCTTTGAAATTCGTGGAGGAAAACAAAATTTCCACGACTTCAGAGAGTTGCGTGTCGATATGATGGAGAGGCCTTGTTGCCGTTTCGTAAACCTCTGTCTTATTGCATGTTTGGCTGTTCTCCCCAACGCCAGTCTTGGAAATTCGTGGAGGAAAACAAATTTCTGTGAAACGATCGGCGGGTGCTTTACACAATGATAGCGCTTAACCCCCCCCCAGCTTTTTAGTCAGGGATCAAGAATTGGGGCAGGCGGTGGCAAGGAGGGAAATAAATAAATATATAAAGGTGGCAGTTAATCTTGCTTAGTTCAGTGTGAACGCTGAACAGTGCTGTGGCCTGACAAACATCTGCCTCACACACAGCCGAGCTGGATCAGCTAAAGAGATTAGGGCGCTCACGTCAGCCTGTGGAGACGGGTGCCCGTTACAAAAGCCAGAACACCAGCCTTTCCTCCCACACTCCACCTGGAACACTGACACTGCAGCGAGAGAGAGGCCCCGCTCCGAAAGCAGCACAAGAACCGCCGTGCAAACGCTACCCTTTTCCAATACGCATATGCTCTTGTCTTTTTTTCCCTCTCTCAGAACAAAGCAACATGTAGCTCTGAGGATTGAACAATCTGTCATGGTACTAAAGCAGATGCTTATCACAGCCAGAGTTGTATCCGAAACTTCTTAATTAGCATGTATGTAATGAAATATGCCATTCATTAAGGTGTAATTGTAATTTTACACTTGCTTTGTACCGAGACGGGGGCCTTGATGTGATAGCAGGTGACCTTTCCATTGCTGTGTGTAAAGGGAGACTGTATCCTGCACATGCTTTTACAGTTAACCTCATTAAAGCAAAGGAGGGGCGATACTTCCTGAAAGGGGTCTCGACAGCTTTCTTTTTTCACTTTTTCTCCTTTTCATTTTCCATTTCATTTCTGTTTTGTGTTCTTTAGTGTGAAAAATGTTATTAATCTGCATTTTCATCTTGTTTCCCAGTAAAATATCGAAGCATTTTTAAAAACAAGATTTAAGATATTAAAACTTTTTTCATCATTTTTTTTACTTTTTATTGTAAATTAAGAACATTTTCTGAAAACAAGTCTTATTGTTTTGTTTATATTAGGGATGTGCGGGTCTAGTCGACTAGTCGACTAAACGGTACAGATCCTACTAGTCGACACTGAAAACAATAGTCGATTACACGACAGAAAAAAGAAAAGAAAAAAAAAACATGATTTTATCATTCAAATTACCATTATTTTAACATTGCATTTAAAACATTTTAAATAACAAGTTAAAATAAAACGTTTGAAAAATAATACATTGCTGGCCAAAGCCAGCAAATGTCAATCACGTCATTCACTACAACCCGTCGGTGCTGCGATCCTGTCCGCGCCATCTATTCCTCTAACGAAGACCCACTTCGGTGGTGATGCGGGATGTCCAGGCGCTTTCTGGAACTCTATCGGCTTGCTTTTCGTTATCTCTGCGTGCCTGCGACTTCAGTTCCTGCAGAGCACGTTTTTTCAAGTGCAGGAATTTTATTGTTAATTGCCTCAAGTCCCGTCTTTCACCAGACCACGTTGATAATTTCACTGAACAAATAACGCATGGTCTGAGTAAGTAAAATGGGCATTCTTGCATTTTGTTTTTAGACGATATAGCCTACACGAAGTACGTTTTTAAAAGCCGTTTTAATGCTATTTCTTGATAAACCTTCGTTTAAACGACAGTCAAATTAGTCGTCGCGCACATCCCTAGTTTATATGTTATATTAATATTTTGCCACTAGTAAATTTTATCTTGGATAGATATTTTACTGTGAAACGAGATCAAAATGCAGATTAAAGGTGCTGTATGTAGGATTGACACCGAGTGGTTGAACTAGGTATTGCAGTCCAAATTCAAAATATCGGAGAGGGTTTTTTTTCACCCGGCCCCTCCTGCTCTGCAGGTTGCCAGATTGAGGACACCAACAGGAACGAAATACAATTGGGTAAACTGGCAGTGGGCGTGTTTCACAAACCAAAAGAGAGACCGACATTCCGGCCCGGAACGCACATTTTCAAAGGAGAATGACTGTAGCATTGTTTTTCAGATAAACAAGTATGTTAACTTAGCATGTTTCTTAAATATCTGCAAACATATTATGGTATTTTTATGCTTTAGTAGAGTCAAAAACTTACATACAGCACCTTTAATAACATTTTGAGAATAGAAGAAATTAAAAAAATAAATTCAAGTTTATTTGTATAGCGCTTTTTACGATGCAAATCGTTGCAAAGCAACTTTACAGAAAATTAAGTTTCTACAATATTTACTAGTAGCTTATCAGTGGTGACTGTCAGTTTATGTACATATGGCAGAAATGTACGGAAACCTAGGACAGATCCTTGTGGCACTCCATATTTTACTGGTGATAAAAGAAAATAAAAACCTGCAATTAAACATGTTTGTCTCCCCCCCCAGTAAATTATCTAAAAATTTTTCAAATGAGATAAATCTATTTAAGATATTAAGACTTTTTCCCCCATATTTTTTCATCCCTAATAAAGCTTCTCTTTAAAATCTCTTAAAACAAGTCATAATATTTAAATTTATATTTTATAATTATATGTTGTATTAAATACTGTTGTATTAAATACTTGTCTTTTTTCTTTTCTTTTATTTTCTTTAAACAGTTCTTCTTTTATACCCTCTGCCTTCTTTCTCCGTTTCCCTCTCTTCTTGTTATCTTCTCTCTTTAATCTTGATGTTCAAATTCGGCTGACTTGGTCCTCCACCCTCATTTTTCAACATTGTGACTTGCCTCTTACATTGTGTAGCTCTTCAAACATGGCTAT